CACTTGGTAGCCCAGGCTGGCCTCGAACTCACAGAGATCTGCCTGGCTCTGCCTCCCGAGTGCTGGGATTAAAGGCGTGCGCCACCACCGCCCGGCTTAAAATTTTTTTTTTTGGTTTTTCGAGACAGGATTTCTCTGTGTAGCTTTTTGTCTTTCCTTGAACTCACTTGGTAGCCCAGGCTGGCCTCGAACTCACAGAGATCCACCTGGCTCTGCCTCCCGAGTGCTGGGATTAAAGGCGGGCACCACCACCGCCCTAGAATTCTTATACCTCCTGGTTAATTGACTATATTGTCATCATTATGGTTTGTTTGTTTGTTTTTGAGACAGAGTTTCTCTGTGTAGCTTTGCGCCTTTCCTGGAACTCACTCTGTAGACCAGGCTGGCCTGGAACTCACAGAAATCCACCTGGCTCTGCCTCCTGAGTGCTGGGATTAAAGGCGTGAGCCACCACCACCCGGCATGGTTTGGCTTTTTAAGAAATCATTTATTTTTATTTTATGTGCATTGATGTTTTGCCATGGGTGTCAGATCCTCTGGAACTGGAGTTACAGACAGTTGTGAGCTGCCATGTGAGTGCTTGGAATTGAACCTGGGTCTTGGAAGAGCAGTCAGTGCTCTTGACATAGAACCATGTCTCCAGCCACCCCCTCCCCCCATTTTCTTTTCTTTTCTTTCTTTTTTTTTTTGAAATCTCATGTAGCCCAGGCTGGACTTGAACTCCCGATTCTCCTGCCTTCACTTCAAGGTGCTGGGATCACAGGTGTGCACCAACATGCCTACTTGGTATTGGTGATGGAACTCCGCATCCTTGGAAAGCATGTTACAACTGAGCCACACTCCCAGCCGGTTGTATTCTTCTTTATTTCTACTGATCTTTCTTTTTCATTCTTTCTTTCCTTTTCTTTTTTTTAAAGATAAGGTCTCTCTACATAGCTCTGGCTGTCCTGGAACTCACTAATGTAGACCAGGCTGGCCTCGAACTCAGAAATCCAACTGCCTTTGCCTCTAGACCATTATTTTTTCTTTTCTTTTTTTAAAAATTTATTTCATGTGCATTGTGTGAAGGTGTCAGGTCCCTGAACTGGAGTTACAGACAGTTGTGTGCAGTCATGTGGGTGCTGGGAATTGAACCCTGGTCCTCTGAAGAGCAGTCAGTGCTCATAACCACTGAGCCATCTCTTCAGCCCCCATTATTTTTTCATAGCCATCCTGTTTCCACCTTCTGATGACAGAATTACAGGTAGTCCACCATGCCCACTGGGTGTTATTGGAGTTTCTGGGGACCCTATCCTTCATGCTTGCTTTAACTGCTGAGCCATCTTCTCAGTGCCTATTTGCAGAATTTTTCTAGAAACAACTTTAGGGCTATAATGAGGTTCTCTTCCTCTGCAGGTGTAAACAAATAGCCCATTATGTTAGGTGAAAATGCCTTGTTAAAAAAAAAAGCAGGGACAGAATTATGGCTTATGTGTAGGAATACTGCAATTTTAAATACGATGGAGAGACAGTGGCAACTCACCACACTTGTCACAGGAACACGGGTGTGTGTGTGTGTGTGTGTGTGTGTGACACATTCAGAAGCGAGTGGAGAATCCAAAGCATTGGAAACAAAGGTGTGAGCCATGTAGCTTCTCAGATGGTACAGGTTGTGGGCTGAGATGGGTGATGCAGGATGATCGAGAGTTCCAGGCTAGCCTGACTTTCATAGTGGGAAGAGAGTGTGGGTCTATAACCCGGGCACTGGAGAGCAGAGCCATGCAGGTTCTGAAGGCTTCCTGTCCAGTTGGTCTACCGGAAACAGAGAGCTTTGGGGTCCACAAGAGAGGATGATATCTGATGTTCCCCTTTGGCCTTACCATGTGAATGTACAGATGTGTCCGTGCACACATACATACCACATACGCCAATCAGTCAAAGAAATGAACTGAACTGCAGGCTGGTGAGCCTGGTAGCATATACTTGTAATCTCACCACTTGGGGAGGCAGAGGCAGGACGAGCAGGAGTCAAGGTCACTGTTGGCTGGATGGCAAGTTTCTGGCCTGCCTGTGCTAAAAGAGACCTATCTCAGAGGAAGAAGGGGAAGAGAGGAGGAAGAAAAGGAAGACATCGAGTTCTAAGAACAATGGGTTTGAAGCATCTATGAGAAATACCAAGAAGCTGTTGGATAGAATCTCACATTCAGGGGAAAGTGTGAGTGTCCGAGTGATCCAGCAATCCCTTTGTGGTGGGAAGATTTAAATTTAGGAGAGATTTAAGACTAGACAATGCAATTGAAGAAGAGAGGCCTAAAGACTGAGACTTGGCATTCTTCACACTAAGTAGGTGTGGCCATGGGTGATGGAGGAGAGAGAAGATGGAGAAGAGGGATGTGAGGGTGGATTCAGTGCTGCTCTTGTTGGCAGCTCAGAAACAGAAGAGAACCAGGTTAACAGCAGCCGAGCCCCGCAGCATGGTTCCCATTGGGTCCCTAGCGGAATGTGATCAGTGGGTCAGTCCACTTCAGACATCAGCACTCCATCTCCTTACCACCGTGTGCTGATAACAGTTTGTCATTAATTCCACAAATATTTGCCAAGTATCTATGTTCATGTCTTCACTCTGAAGATAATAGAAAACAGATGTGAGTGGGTCAGATGATAATAAAACAAACTGATAAGACAATTTCTAATGACAGTAGTAGAATCGAGTGACCTGCTTCATTTAAGGGGATCACAAAGGTCCTCTTGGAGGTGTAGACAGAAATTTCTCAGGTGCTGCCTTGCCCCAAGGTGCAGATGAATCTCTCCCACCTGCGGTCCCACAGCTGCTTATAAAATAATTACTCTCGAGGCTTATATGAATTACAAACTGTATGACCTATGTATGGCTCAAGCTTCTGCTAGCTAGCTTTTATAACTTAACTCAACCCATTTCTATTAATCTATATGTTGCCACGTGGCAGTGGCTTTATAGGTCTGCTGATATCTTGTTGCTCCTTGGGCTGCAGGTTCGCATCTCCCCCGCTCTGCCCTTCTCTCTGTCTGTCTGCTTGGACTTCCTGCCTGGCTGTAAGCTTTCTTGCCATAGGCCAAAAGAGCGTTATTTATTATCCAATGGGAGACACACATATTCACAGCATACAGAAAGACATCCCACAGCATGGAGGAGTGACAGGAACCAAGACCTGAACAATGAGAAGACATTGACTGACAGGTGGAGGAAAATAGTTTTCTCAGGGGAGGAAAGCTTGGGGTGATGTAGGGAAGAAGGAGGTCACTCTGGTCTCATCACGGAGGAAAGGAAGACTGGACAATCTCATTGAGCTCATAGGCCATGGCTGGGAACTTAGGATCATCCCAAATATGATGTGGAAGCCTTAAGGGGGAGTCACATGGTTTGCATTCCACAAATGTCACTGAGTTGGTCAGATGGACGTCAGAATTTAAGGGGCAGGGAGAGTTAGGAGGCCCTTTTAGTCCAGGTAACAGGTGGCATCTGGGACAAGAACCTGCTAGAACACACACCAGAGGCACTGACATAAATGGAGTCTATCTTTGGGCCAAAGCTTTTCTAAAGCGAAGAAAGACTACCTACCAAAGAGGCAGTTTGGCAGGCACAGCTCTTGCTCTTCGGTTGATTACTTACTTACAAGGAAGCTCAGATCGCCCACTTCAAGTTGCCAATCATTACATTAGTGCATCCTAGTGGCTTAAGAAATGCAGGAACTGGAGGAGGAGCAACTGGGGTACCCTGGAAACAGGACTTGGGAGCTTTCATTTGCAGGGAGAGCAAAGGGGCCGGTGGGGGACACTTTTGACCACTCTAGAGGTGTCCAGAGCTCTAGGCTCCAGTTCCCAATACTGGAGACTGGCAGAAGCTCTGAAAAGTGGTGACTCAGGGGAGGTTCCTCCCCTGACCGCCTCTTCCTAGTCCGCTGGGAATGACTCACCTGCTCCCTCCCTCAAGAGTGACCCCGGGGCCAATCCCTTAATGAGTCCACACCTCACCCTTTTCTTCAGGCTGGTACAATAGACTGGTGGAGCTTTTGGCTCCCTAGGGGCAGAGGTTGTCAGCAATCACCCAGGTAGCTCCAGACAGACACCTGGTGGGATCCGGAGGTGCCTGAAAAAGGCAAACCCAAGACCCTCCCCTTGCACCGAAAAGATGGTGTGTACGTGCCAATGCCTGTGCTCACGATTTCTTCGAATTTGCAGAGCCATTTAGTATCATTTTGTTCGCAAGCTTTGGTTTGTTGGGGAATAACACCTCCCCCACCCCCCACCGCGGCTGGGGATTAAAACCTCGCGAAAGCTAAACACAGGATCTACACGGAAAGTCTTGGGAGGATTTTCTTTTGAACACCAAATCTTGTTCGGGGTAGGCAAGCAACCGGAGGTCCCCGAACTCAGCAATGCTGACACTGGGGGCTTTGGAAAGGGAACGTACAGGGTGGGGGTGGGGAGTTAATCAACAGACCTCCATTTCTGGCAGGACAAGGGCTGCAAGGAGCTGGTAATTCAGGGAGCAACGGGGTTGGTCACCTGGGCTAGGTGTCGCACGCCCGAAGCAAACCGGAGGGGCGGAGAGAGCCCGCGGCTTGTCTTGCAGCGAGAAAGCAGATGCCCGCGGGATGCTCGTTGAGGTCTGTAGCCGGCGCACGGTCGCCTCCTACTTCCTGCGCCCTAGTCGCCTCGGAGCCACTCTGGACATCCCCCTCCTCTCTCTGCCCCGAGCCAGCGTGGCGCCCTCCTTCTACCTTGTCCCGCCGCCTGGGGTCGCCGCCCTGTGGGAACAGGACAGTTGGAACGCGGTAGGCACTGCCCCCCACCTTCCCGGGGCCCCTCCTCCCGGCCCAGGCATCCACGCCCCACCCGGAGTCTGCAGCCTGGCTCTCCCGAGTTACCTGCCGGGGAAAGTCACAGTCCGCAGTTTGGACCCTAACCAGTGGACCCTACAGAGCCGAAAGCCACATTCCTAGGGGAGGGGTCCTCCGACCTAGAGGGTCGCGGATCACATTACCCGGTTCGAGGAGGAGACTGCGCAAAGCTGAGAAAACTGGGGGTAAAGTTGCGTTTAGCTTAACCTTCTCAAACCCCAATTGCGCTTCGCTGGCGGGTTGACTCGGCGTTCACAGAGTTCCTGGAATCCGGGGGACCCAGACTGGCTTCCCAGGATACAGGCACTGTCCCCCCGCGCGGGTGCGACGTGCGTGGCGGATGCCGCGTGGCGGGAAGCGCGAGCGTTAGCAAGGACCCGGTGCTGGGGGACCGCTCTCAGGCGTGCTCATGCTTGCGTCCTTGCATCCCTGCAAGCATCCAAGCATCCGCCAGCGGCTCGCAAGGCCACCCGGGCCCAGGACACTCCGCGTTGATTGTATGCAGAAGTGGGGTGTCTGCATGCCAGGGCAGGATCGCGGCGGGGCAGACAGCAGTTCGCGTAGGGGATAGGGGAGACCCGGGCAGGGAGAAAAGAGAGCACCCCAAAGGCACAGTTGGAAATCCGGGAGGTGGGGGGGAATGTTCCCCGCGAAGTCCCTCAGGCGCTGAAGGGGGCCGGGCGGGCCTCTGGGGCCAACTTTCCGGAGGGAGGTGCGGCCGGAGGGGGCGGCGCCGGCGGCAGGAGGCGGGAGTCGGGGGCCGAGGGGGGGGGGAGTCACTTTAAAGGCTCTTTCTTACCCATAATGCTTTGTGGGGACGTTGACAAGTGGATCCAAGATGGCGTAGAAAGTAATGACAGGTAAGTCCTGACTTCCCCGTTCTCCGCTGCCCGGGTCGCTTCAGGAGCTTCCAGAGCCATCCGGGGAGAGGCCTGGACTCCCCTCGGGTGCTCCGGGTCCCGGGCAGCGCGGCCCCGGGGACAGCGGGGGGTCCCGACGGCCGGCGGCGGGGCCTGGGGAGCGGGGCTCTCTCTGAGGCGAGGCCCGGACGCTGGAGCTGTTTACTGCTTCTTCCCCTCCTCAGTCTCCTTTCCCTTCCGCTGGGGGGCTGAGGCGCCGGCCGCCCAGGCGGTGGCCCCGGGGGTCCTTGCACACGCCCGAGGTTCGGGGCGCCCGGGGCGCCCGCGC